TTACAAACCCACTCATATGCCCAAACACACATTCCACACATACACATTACAAATAAATTCACATATCCCAATCATACACATCCAAATTCACACAAACCTGTTTACATATACACACACCCCACATAATTCCAAATACCTAACTCCATATGCATGTCCTATACATGTCCTATAACCCCATGCACTGCCCCACTTACATACCCTAATCATATCCATATACTCCACCCACAAACACTCTATGTTCACACACAAGTCCATGCAGTCACACCAACGGAAAGTTGAATACATTTACAAATATTCTGAAACACACATAGTCCTTCACACACAGGTCTCACACAGAGCCACTTGCACAGACAAGTCCAGCAGGAGCCATAAAAATAAAATTATGAATTGGAAATGTGGCCAAATTTCTCTAGGCCAAAATTCCTTAACCTGGCCAAGTTTTGCTTTAGTGACATACCTGCAGGTCTTCAATCATCACTGAGTACTGAATATCATTGTACTCCAGAAACACTTTGAAGGACTGAAGACTGTTCTCTGGAACATGGACATCTATAATGAGGTCAGACTTGACGGGACGGCGCCAGATATCTAGCTGGAGTTGTAGAAGGAGAAGATAACATTTATGGTTATGTTTAACACATAGAAAATATACTTACAGTACATGATAGGCTATAGGTTGCATTTCCTTGAGACAACCTGTTAACTAGTGTGGCATCTGGTGTTATCATTAGATACAGGATTTTGTGTAAAAACTGTATGTTTGCACACAGTGCCATAGTCCTGTGTGTGATGTGTTGCCTGGCTCCTTAGGTAATGTATACAAAAGGCCTGTCATCACTCAGTAATGAGAATCTCATATCCCTGTTCAAAGTGTGGCTGAAAAATAAGACTTATTTGCTCTCAGCATCAAGAATTTTCTCAATGCTGATCTCATGTGATTTTTCTCAACTTTCTTGCCAATGCTCACATTGTTTGAAGGCTGGGAACATTCAGCCTGGTGTCATATTTTGCTTGATAACATACGTGTGAAGTCTTCAGGTGTTACTTCACTTTAAAGGGACTGTATAAAGAAATAGATGTTAATAATTGTTGTTATTTTGTTATAAAGGAAAGTCAAGAGGAAAAGAGCTATTTTTTGAATTACAACCTGAAATTTACAATTGATTAGAATTGTTGTATATTTCAGCAGCTTATAGGTAGTTACAAAACCTAGCCAAGCCTCATTTGGAAGGCCGTCAAAAGAAAAGATTATCACTGAAATATCACAATAATGGTGCCAACTGTAGACTATTGCAGTACCAAGTTCTGTCAACTGATGGTGTTTCTATGTGTTTGTAGTTTGCTCGGTACTTATGTGGAGAGATTCAGTTCGGTTCTTGACTCACCTTGAGATGCTCCTGATCCTCCAAGGACATCACAAGGCTCACCTGTTTCTCATCTCTGGGTGTAATCCGGAGGACCTGATCGCTGTAAACAGGGCGAGTGGTCAGTATCAGAATCAACAACTGCAGTTCTTTTGGGTATTTTTTTGGTCAGTATCAGGGTTTCCTTTTTCGGCATTGTGTTAATTACTATGAACTTGCATAGCATAACCTCAAAATGTCTCAAAGCAAATTACAGACTATTTTGCCCAATTGAACCTCATGCATTGGGACAGGAGTGCAGATATTCCCAAAGTAGTTTCATAGACAGTTCCTTGAAGAGAGAGAGAAATGATCTCCACCACTTCATTTGGGCAATATTTGGGCTGTGCACCACAAGGTATAAGGTCAGTCTACAAATAGCTCCAGGTCAAGCTTTCATTTACTATGCATTAGTGAGGCTTCTGCCAGGTTAGTCATTAACTGTGCTGCCCTTTTAATATTAGCAACAATATCCACAGGTAACAGAACTGGAATTGAACAGAACTCTTGATTTCTATCAGTATGGTTACCATTAGAACCAATGCTGCAACCACGTTGGTACTAACTGGGAATGTGGTAACCCATTTCAAACTGTGATTAGCCATCAAAAGAATACTTCATCTAGATGATCCATATGTGAGTCTCAGTTAGTGTTGGCCAGTTATTTGGGCAAGGGAGGAATCACAAGCAAATCTAACATTCTTTGCTCACATGCATATCTATATGGAGGATCTCTCGACCCTCCTCAACCCAGTCCCAAACTTGGGGCCACATATATGAACAGTTGCATGGACCTCCACTCACAATCAGCAAATTCAGCAAAGGGTGAGGATCAATCTGGAAATTTTTAGTCTCACGCCAAGTGTTCCGGATAAAGGTTTTACCACTTTTCTGTGTAATCAATCGCAAGGCAGTAACTCACCCTTCAAACTCACTCTGAGCATAAATGGCCACCAGCAGAGTCAGGAAAATGAAATGGGTTCTCATGGTGAAGCCTTGTGGAAAGGTGGAACATGCTGGGACTATTTAAAGAGTGAGAGATGCCAAGTGGATGACTTGGACCAAAGATTAATGACCAAGATTAATCAGCAGAATGGTGGAATATTTCCCATGCAAATTGAAGCTGTTTATATCAAAACCTTGTTTGTTTTTCCAGAAAACTCCTGATGGTTGTGAATAAAAACATATCCCTCTTCATAACTTGACAATGTACAAATAATTTGAAGTATGGAAGAGCTGCGTATTAATGATTTCCAAATCAACCAAGTAATTCCATGCCATTTTCTTTCTGATGTTTACTTTTGGGGTTAGGGATAGTGAGTGAGAGGAAATGAACAGATAGTTTAGTAAGCTGGTGTGTTATTGGACTCTTCAGATCAATGTCAAAACCTGTTTCACATTGAGTGATCCAATCTCATCTTTAACAGTTTTTTTTCAAGGAGAGGAAATAGTTTCTTAGTAACTCCTGCACAGAATTCTTTTATCATTGTAAGAACCTCGATTCGCCTCAATGGATTTGCAATGAGACCCCTCTAAACTTAACAGAATACAAATCAAGTTAATACATCTTGGCCTTATGATCCCTTAAACTACAGTGTTACTTTGCTGAATTTCCACTGCATTGCCTCCAACACCAATTTATCCTTCTCGATGTGCAGTGCCCAAAAGTGAATGCAATTAATCCAGATAAGGCCTGAACAAGGTTCTGTGTAAGTGAAGCATCACTTTCTCACTGAAGTATCCCATTATAACAATGATGTAGATGGCAGCAGGGTTACAAAGCAGCATCAACAGGCAGAGTGGGTGCGCAAAACTGCAACAAGTGGGGTTCAAGATGGAACATTTTGCACTCATTTGTTTTGGATCCAAGAAAGGCAAATTGTAAGATTTTCTTCATTAGAGAGACTGGAAACAATGTAGGATCAAATTTATTCAGGCGTCCATGTACATTAATCACTAAAATCTAGTGCACCGGTGCAAAAAGTAATCAAAAAGCTAATAACCTTGAACTCTCTCCCTTAAAAGATCATCTGTTCCAGGTAAATTGAAAAGTTTAAAATAGAGATTGATAAGTTTTTGTTATTAGAGGTTGTTCAGCAATGGCAGGTGAGTAGAATTGAAGTACTGAAGCTAAAGGGTTTCAGGTAAGGTCACCATAGTCCTACCAAACCATAGGGTTACTGCTGTTTAGAGAGAACTGACTTGTGGGTGATTTAACCTGACGATCACCATGCCTCTCGTGAGGGGATGAGTTGAGAAGGAGGATCCTTCATGGTAACAAAATCAGAAAAAAACTCAGCAGGTGTGGCAGTATCTGTGGAATGGAAGAAGGGTCACTGGGCTCAAAATGTTAACTCTGCTTTGTCTCCACAAATGCTGCCAGACCTGCTGAGTTTTTCCAACAGTGTCTGATTTTGTTTCTGATTTCCAGCATCAGCAGTTCTTTGGTTTTTCTTTCATGGTAACCTCAGACAGTGCGGGAATTGAACCCACTATGTTGGTATTACTCTACCATGTTGGTATCACTCTGAACTGAATGGTTTCCTCCTGTTCACAATGTTCCTATGATTAATCTTGGATAACCAAGGTCACCTTCCTCGGTTTCATGTTTGATCCCTGCCACTAGAGGGTTTATCTCTTAAACCCCATTGACCTAATTTTTCTCAGGACTACTTGATGAGGTACCTGGTCAATTTCTTCCTCAGGCCATTACTCTCCTCTCTCTTTTATTGAGCTCTTGCATCTGTTGTTGAATCAAAGCCATGATGAGGTTTGAACTAAGAACAAGTGTTGGAAAAGCTCAAGGAACTAACACCTGATAAATCAGCAGGACCTGATGGCCTACATGCTAAGGTTCTAACTGCAGATGCAGTGGATATGTTGACTATGATTTTCCAAATGTAATGCAGGAAAAGCATATGGAATGCACCAAGGTTCCGGCTCAGTTATCCTTTATTCCACAGGCACCAAATATATTAGCACATTCATGGAAAAGCTAATTCTAAAGAAACAGACTCCTTACAGTGGATGGAGACAAACAAAAAACTGCAGATGCTGGAAGCCAAGGTAGGCAAGCAGGAGGCTGGAAGAACACAGCAGGCCAGGCAGCATCTGGAGGAGAGCAGCAGTCAACATTTTGGGTATTACCAGTCCTGAAGAAGGGTAATATCCAAAATATTGACTGCTCCTTTCCTCCAGAAGCTGCCTGGCCTGCTGTGTACTTCCTTACAGTGGATGGCAGTTGTTCAACACTACAGATGCAGACAAACCATTCAGAACACAACTCCTTGTCTTAAATCATCTGAGTATTGACACAATAACCTTGGAATAAAGGGGAGCAATCTTTAGTGAGGAAGAAGACAGTGGCAGTGGGTGGGTTCAAGGGTGGGTCCACGGGGAAGTGGGTAATTCAAGGGTCAGGGGGTGGTTCCAAGGGGCAGTGGGGGTGGGTTAAGGGTCAGGAGATGGTTCCAGGGAGCAGTGGGTGGGTCTAGGGGTCAGTGGGTGGGTCCAGGGAGCAGTGGGTGGGTCTATGGGTCAGTGGGTGGGTCCAGGGTGTAGTAGGTGGGTCTAAGGGTCAGTAGATGTGTCCGTCGTTGGGGGTCAAGGGACAGTGGGTTGTGTCTGTTCGGGGGGGGGCGAGGGGGCAGGGGTTGGGGGACACGTGTTAAAATTCCCGCGTTTATTCAACACGTTTCCCCTGACGTCAGGTTCGGTGTTCGTGAACGGAAGTAAGTAATTCAATTTCCGGTGGCGGTAGATCAGGGAGAAGGAAAAAAGAAAGTAAGTAAGTAAAAGACAAAGAGAGGCAGGGGGATAATTCTGAGGGAGTTTTAGTTCTTCGCATCTCGTGCTTTAGTGAATTTGGACAGCTTCATTTCTCCAGTGTAGATTTCCCTGAGAATGTTAAACTGTTAATTTGTGTCGACAGGAATGAACCCAGTGGGGAACGGGGTGGCTGGCACTGCCCTCATCGACCGCACTATCCAGATGAGGAAGGAGGCACAAGCCAGGAAGGTGATGCTGGTGTGGGGCTTGCTCAATGTAGGACTCGCTGGAATGGTCTACATGGAAATGTCAGTGGGTTTTCTTTTTTTCCTCGATTTCTGTTTCGTTTTTTTCTCCTGCGTTCAATAACTTGGGTTAAATAGAGTGAGAGTTCTCTGGCGCCTTGCACAACCAGAGGATATCCAAATGTGCTTTACAGGCATTGATGTGGTTTTCAACTGTCTTGATGTGGGAAGCGATAATCAATTTTATACGCGGCAAGCACTCGGGGAAAAAAAACACAATAACCACGTCTGTTTTAAGTAATGTAGATTTACACAACTAACTCTGACTACTTGTGCATCTCTGATTTTTATTGCTCCTCCATTTGGGGTCATACCTCCTATTGAATGCCAGCCCTCTGGAATGATGCTTGTTTGCCATACTCACTTGGCCTACCCCCTTCAGACATTCATTAAAACCTAGACTTTGGTCATCTGCCCTAACATTCCCTTGTGTGGCTGAGTGTCAAACTTAGTTTGATAATTGTCCTGCAAAGTGCTACTGGATACTTTACTCTGTCGGAGTCCCCCTGTCTGAGTTTGTATGTTTGGTTTGCAACTAATTGTACCTTTTTTATGTGAGGTGTGAATGTTTATCATTGTTTTAAAAAAAAAATGTAATTCTGCAGGACAGGCAAGTTGCTGTGCAAATTCTACAACATCAGCTACTGGCCCCTGTGGTACATTGGTGAGTAACTCTACCCTATGTGATATGTCAGCTCCAACAAATTGTCAGGATGGCTGCTCTGAATTGACACTATTGGAACTTATGGCAGGTTGGCAGGGTTTTTGTGGTGCAGTGGTAGTGTCTGTACCTCAGGCAGGATGCCCCAGTTCAAGTTCCATCTGCTCCATACGTGTGTAATAACATTTATGAACAAGTTGATGAGAAAAATAGATTTTGGAGAAAAATATTTGTAACAAATTTGAGTGCAGAAGGAGGCCACGTGGCCCATTGTTTCTGCACTGGTGCTAATCATTGTAGCATTTAGTGCAGAGGGAGGCCATTTGGTGCATGGAATGGTACCTTTGGTAAAGCTGTGCATATATTCTTATTCCCCACCAAATATTTAATTTTCCAGTAATGGTTTACTTCCCTTTTTAAGAGGCATTCTGAATTGTGGGTCCCCAACTATATCCATGTGGATGTTCCATGTCCTTACTGCTGTGTTCGTATCAACAAGTAGCATCTGGTCAGTGGCTCACAAGAGCAGAAATATTGCCTATTTTCCCTTCTGAGCAGTATTTCTGCTGAAAGCAGCCAATTCCACACTGCATTGGAACTCCATTTTTGAATTTTAAAAAATGTACTCATGGGGCATTGCTGGCTGGCTGGCATTTATTGCCTATCCCTAGTTGCCCTTGAACTGAGTGGCTTATTAGGCCATTTCAGAGAGCAGTTCAAAGTCAACCACACTGCTGTAGGTCTGGAGTCACATGTAGGCCAGACCAGGTGGTGATGGCAGGTTTCCTTTCCTGAAGCACATTAGTGAACCAACAGTCAGCAATTTCATGCTTGTCAGTAGGTTTTTAATTGCAATTCTATTTTATTGAATTCAAATTCCACTATCTGCTGTGGCAGGATTTAAATCTGGCTGCCCAGAATATTAGCTGATTTTCTGGATTAATAGTCTGGCGATAGGTCATTGTATTTGTACTCTAACTTTAAAAAGCTGCATCATGAATCCCATGCATAGACAGCCTGGATTTAGTTTAGCCTCTTCTGCTGTACATCTTGTGACTTTCCAATTTTTCTCTTTTGATCCAGAGCTTGTGCTGGTCACCTTGTTTTGCCTGAATGCTTTATTTGATTTCTGGTGTTACTTCAGGAGTGCTGTTGTCCCTGCTAACCTTGTGATGACCCCACAGCAGCAAACCCTGCTGGGAATGATGAACCCAGGTAGGTTGGGATGCAGCATCAGTGCATTGTGGAAGGAGAGAGAACCTGCAGTGATAGTTAGATGTCTCAAAGCACTTTGCTGTTTAAGCAAGGCAGCTGACCAAAATGGGACCTGTGTCTAGTCCTGCAGTAAACGTTCTACATTTTGATGGATAGAGACCTGCAGTGCTAATTTTGGGGCGGGAGAGTTGGGGGGGGAGGGGTTGGTGTTCATCTTCATCTTCCACACACCCCTGTACCTCAAAAGCTTTTTTCCTCTACTCCTATTTTGATCTTTTTAAGCTCATTGTTGTTTAATCCAGTAGAAGGAAATTAGATGTGAGGACTTTGTTCCAAAGGAGGGGTAATGGACTGAGGGCTGAGCTGATAAATGTTCTAATGCTCTGGTACCATCCAAATGAGCCTATACCATGTCATCTCCCTTGCTTTTCTGCTTTTATTTCCAGCATGCTGTCAGCTGGACAAAACTATACACAACACTTGCAGTGCAACCTCATACCAAACTAAAAGTTGTCTCCTTTCTTTTATATTCTCTGTTCCACATATTGAAGTCAAGGAGTAAAGGAATGTTAATGAAGCGAAAATGGGAGGTGAGCTGGGGCATGACGCTCAAGTAATTAACTTGGTTGAAGTTGTCTCTTTCTCTCCTCAGCGATACTGACAGCACCACAGCAGAAGCCGGCTACCCCATCCACACCCAAGAGCTCCTCACCAGGCACCGGACAGGGACAGAGTGTACTGTCTTATAGCCCTCAACGCCCACTTGGCTCCTGCCCCAAGTACAGCCCTGGCTGTATAACGGGTTTTAGTCCAAGTGGGCAGACACCTTCCCCACCAGGCAGCGGATCCTTCCCATCCTCAGTGATGTACTCAACTGGCAGCAGCTTCAATACGGTACATTTGATAGGGGTTTGGAATCTAACTGTGGGCTGCAATATTGAACTTTCATTGCTATCTTCTAAGTCTCTATCATCGGATTGTAACTGTTGGGGGAAACAGAAGCCAAATAACACGCAGCAAATTCCTGTATTATTGTGGTGATAATCAGATGATTGATTTTTGTCACAAAAGGGGCAGATATTGATCGGGACTTTGGGAGAGCTCCCTGCTCCTCCTCTTGTAGTACTTTAGCACCTTTTATTTATCAAAGAGGGTGTAGGATTAACATTTCATTTGAAGTCCTTGAGCGGTAATTTGAACACAGACTTCAGAATTGGAGGTAAGCATGCTGCCTTGTGAGCTGTGGTCCACATTGAGGAGATTTTGTCTTGATTCAACTGAACTACCCTGCTCAATCCCACGTGATTTCACATTATCTGACCCAGTGAGCAGCCCATCCCACCCAAAAGAGAGATGGAAATGAACGTGCTTTTTTAAATCCCTGGTGTTTGACAGTGAATGCATGAGGTACAGTAACTGTAATAGAATCTGATTGTGAAAATACTTTGTTTCCATTCTTTGGTTGTGTTGGCAGTATTCTGATAGCAGGTGAACATGATGCCCTTCTACCCTGACCTTCACTGCCATATGTTGTCTTTAGTAATTTGCCCACTCTTTGTTTTTTCTGGTATTCCAATTCTATTAATAACGCTGCCATCTGCTGCTAAGTTTCCAGGTTCCCAGCATTTTCAAAGGGAGTCAGTCCTGGCTAGAATAGCTTGTATTGTCTTTGAGTTTATATCCTCAAATATCAAGAGGGTCCTACGTTATGTAATTGGCTGATCTCCTCCAATGTGGTCTTCACATTGATGTGATCACAGAGTCTGAGTTAATGAAGAAGCATGTGACCAGGGCTCCAGCTCCTGCTTGTGATCTCTTAGCCCTTATCTTAAATCTGCAGATGGATTTGCTAGTGATGGTCCCATTTGAAAGTCAGACACACATTAAAGCATAAGCTGGTAATAACTGTGAAAGAGTCAGGTAATTGTTTTTAGTCCCTCAAGTCAAGCCCCTTTACTGCAGATCTGTTTCAAGTGGAATAGTATCAAGAACCATGAAATCTAGCATGGGATTCCACTCAGTTAAAGTTAGCCTTGTATATTTGTCACGATTGAATTAATTTATCTGCCTATCACAGGACAGTGTATTGGAGGGACTTTTTTTTTGTTGTTTTCCTTTCAAATTTTGCACTGATATGAACCCCTGGCAATTTTTTGTTTAAAAAGTAAAACTGGAAGAGAGTATTTCTAGTCAAAATTACTAAGAAGATTGCGACAGCTTAGATATTTTTATTTTACTTTATTTTGAAGACAGCCCAGTGTTTTTCAGCCCTGTATAGAATCATACAGTGCAGAAGAAGCCCTTTGTGCCATCTGGTCTGTACCACCAAAGCTGCACTAATCCCACCTTCTGAGGCCAGGGCAGAAGACTTTACCTTCTGAATTTCACCTTAATGTTATTGACTCTTTGACTAAGGGAAACAACTAGTTTCGATTCTGTGGTTCTCTGCGAAACAGGTCATGTTAATAAATGGAAATTGTTTTAAGAGGTGCAAATGAGGGACCAAGGATCTCCGCTGAGCCACACAGGTTGAGAAGAGTATGACAGGATGAGCAGGATGGCCTTGCATTTATGTAGCACCTTGATCGTGCGGAATCCCAAAGTGATTTACAGACAATCTCTTACTTAGAGTAATCACTGTTGTAACAGAGGTAGGTAGCTTGAAGGCTGTTGGAAATCTTGAATATTTGCTCCCACAAACAGCAATCTGATAATGTATTAAGGGACAAATATTTGCCCCTAATTTTAGTCCCTGGTCTGTCTGTCTCTATTTTGTGTAAACACTTCATCAGTTAACTCCCCAGGCTATTATCTAGCCATTTAGCTTCACTCGTATGTTCACTTGGGAATTATATTTGAACTTCCCTTTCAAAATGACTTTCAGACCTTTGTTAAAACAAACAAGTCACATTCACAAGATTGAAAACTAAAATCTATTTTACCTCTGCTTTAAAATCCAAATTCCCAAATTATCATATAAACTTTCATCAAAATGTCGCCAAGAATGGAATGAAACAAAACAAACTTCTATGGGGATAAATCATAATATGTTCAAAAGATGCAAAGATGGACTTTTGAAAACCTAATTGTTGGATATAGGTAATGTTTTTCAGCTTTGAAGTCCAAGGAAAGAATATTCAAGTAGTGCTGGTTCTTGGTTTGACATGCTGGGGATGTAAGTGGGTCAGTGGTTGTCATCAATAGGAAGAAAAGTGCAAAGGACAACTGTTTAAGACAAAGATAGAGAGAGCCGGAGACAGTGCGATTTTGTTAGTTGACCTCCTGGAAACTTTAACCTTTCCTGTTTCCCACAGGGATCTCCTTTCAGTCCTGTTCAGAATATGTCTTTGTACGGTAACAACGTTGGGAATGCAGAGAGCTCCAGCCTGAGAGCTCGATATCGTTCTGCTCCTTCTGTGTACAGTGCACCTCTCACGCGAGATGAATGCCTGACTGATATGAAGTCTCTGGAGAACTTTCTTCGCTCTGAAGAGGAGAAACATGGTCGCAGTCAGCTGGGTTAGTTGAGGCTTAACCTGTTCTTAAAATTCCATACTGTGATGTAATTTAATCGCACCAAACAGGGAGGGATTCAGATGCACAACCTCATGTTTACAGTTAAGTCCCTATTATAAGTCATTCCACTTTCACAATGATCAGTTAATGGGGCCTCTGTTCATGTTTAGCATCTGGAGTTTTGTTTTGTCAAAATTACTTTTTCACATCGGGTCTGCAGTGGAGTCCAATGATCCAGTTAGTGTCTAATAATGACCATGACCATGAATCCATTGTCGATTGTTGGAAAAACCCATTTGGTTCACTAACGTCCTTTAGGGAAGGAAACTGCCATCCTTACCTGGTCTGGCCTACATGTGACTCCAGATGCACATCAGTGTGGTTAACTCTCAACTGCCCTCTGGACAATTAGGGATGGGACTGCCTGATCAGTGATGCCCTCATCCTGTGAATGAATAATAAAAAAAATTTTGGAGTGGTCTCTTCTGTTCCCTGACCCTCCCTTCACTGTTGAGAGGAAGGTTTGGTGAGCTGGAGGTAAGTGGAAAGACTCATCAAAGTCTTTGTATCTTTTTAAAGTTATTTTAAAGTTACCTCATTTCTGAATATAGGAATTTAGCAATGCGAAGTATTTCAGTTTAGTATGTTGTTTAATTTTTTCCAGATGTCAAAGGTCTGTGGCTTAAGTACAGCTTTTACATAGTTTGTAATGAGAAGATGGAATTCATTTGACATTGTTTAATTTAAAGTTCCACTTTTCAGAAATGTAACCACAACATTGAAAGGAATTATTGTATTGAGTTCACTGGGTTAGTTTGAGTTTTGTAATTGTTGATATCTCTGGATTAGCAGGGCATAAGGATGTCATCTCTAAATAGTTGCCTAGTGATCTCTACTGCGGTGTAAGGGCATTAGGTGAGCAAGAAAAAGTTCAGGGAATTAAGAAAACCAAGGGGAAAAGGCCTTCAGGAAAGGGAGTTTGGATCTTTTAAAGAAGGCAGTATCAGCTGAAACATATAATTGCATTAGTGTGCTAATTCAGAAACTCGCATGTGCATAATTACTGATCTGCTATGTTATCACTGAATTCAGAGTGTCATATGCAAAGGCTGCACTGCGCACGTGTCGAAAAGAAGCATGATATTGAAATGGGATTAAGAGAGATGAGGGCTGGAGAGGAAAGGTGGGGTGAAAGAAAGTGTGGGTGCAAAGGCAGAGAGTGGGGAGGAGCTGCCCCCTAATCAACCACATTACCCACATTACTTCTATACAAACTAGTAACAGAAGGAGGCCATTGTTCTGCCATTCTCTATAATCCATGGCTGATCTGATAGTAGCCTCAACTCGACATAACCATTGACTGCTTTTTTAATCCAGAATCTACCTGCCCCTGCCTTAACATTATTCAGTTACCCCAGCTCCACTGCTCTCTGGGGAAATGACTTCCAAAGATACACGCCTCTGAGAGAAAATCTTCCTCATTTCAGCATTAAATGGGAGACTGTCCTGATTTTTTTTTTCTGCCTGCATTCCTGAATCCTCGGACTGGGTTTTGATTTCAAGGGTGCTCAGCTTGCTGCCTTCATGCGTAATCCATAAGATGGAGGGTGGGCAGGTGCTGGAATTGGCAGTGTGTCAAGTACATTTAAATAGTTAAGGGTCAGTTGAGCTTGTTTAAAGACCATTCGTTAAAAGCTCACCTGACCCTGATAATATTTGCTCGTGCTTAAAATATGGGTGACATATACATTTAGATTGGAACAGGCTGCCTGTTTTAAACACCTGTGTGAATAAAGGTGAAAAGGATAAATCATCTGATTCAGGGAGTGCCCTGTCCCTGGGCAATAGGGCCCTTCCCACACTAAAGCCTCAGAGCCTGCTTTCCTGGGACAGCCATACCGCTGTTTAGACATCTTCCTACTCTGACGATGCTCATTACCAGAGCTTTAGAGCTGCGGATTTAATCAGATTGATTAAATCCGCAAAATGGGACTTCCTGCCGAGTGGCAATTTAAAAGTGACAGTAGGCAATTTAGGCCACCAGTAGCATGATCGGCTGTGGTGTGGGCTTCTCAGTCAGCTTCCTGCTGATTTTCCTTCCAGGGTGGGTGAGCTGTATGCCTGCACCTCCACAAGCAGGAGTGTCATTTTGGCACACTTTTTTTTGTCAAATCCCTCATAAAATCATGTTTCAGATATTTTCTAAGCAACCTGTTCAGATGTTATTACCCACTTTTGGAGCAAGTGGGACTTGAACCCAGGTCTCCTACCTCAGAGGTAGGGACACTACCACAGCACCACAAGAGCCCTAAGATCATCTTTCACTTTTTTCTAAACCCCATTGTCTCAGGTACAGTTTGCCCAACCTTTTCTTATCAGATAAACCACTCCTTAATCCTGGGTGTCAGTGGAATGAACCTTCTGAGCTGCCTCTAACACATTTACGTTCTTCCTTAAATGCAAGGACTAAAACTATACACTGTACTCCAGATTGGCCTATCCAAAATTCTATACAACTGTAGCAAAGCATGTCTTGTTTATATTTCATTCCTCGCAATAAAGTATAACATTCAATATGATTTGAATGTCAATTTTGTAATTAAGTAATGTGTTGTTTTTCAATTCTTCTGCAAAGAGATCAAGTTCACATTTTCCCGCATGGTACACGGTCTGCTAAGTTTTTGCACACTCACTTAGCTTATGTAAGCACTTTTGTAGATTCTTTACGTCCTCTTCTCAATTTGCCTCATACCCATCTTTGGCATTATCAGTATTTCAATGATATATCATGGAGCATTCCCCCATCATTCAGTAAAGTGAGAGAAAAGGAAGAACAAAGACTTAGTTGAACTGGTCAACTTCAAAGTGAAGAGGAACTCTGAACTTCAAAAAGTTCTTTGAATTCAATATTATAATTTAAGGTTATAACATTTTTAGAAATTAGGGCAGTGTCTAGGCTGTGAAAGTGCAGCTGGACCTCAGCTCAAATTGGTCTGGGTCAAATGGTCAAAGATTGACTATTATGGGAAATTGGATGATTTCACTTTCCAACACTCCATGTGTTTTAATATATTTGCATTTATTTCATGCATACGCAGGAACACCAGAATGTACGTCCAGTAGCAGCAGTCCTACCTCCTTTTGGAACTACAGCCGAACCACAGGTGACTATGCACAGTCACTACGCAAGTTCCAGTACCAGCTTGCCAGCCGTTCACAGGCCCCATCTGCCCACAAGGATGACACTGATCTGGGCTCCAAATTACTTGCAGAAGAGGTGTGCCATAATTTCTAGATGTTTGCATTTAACTTTAGTCTGGCCAGATGGCAGGTCCTTATCAATAACCTTGCCGTTATTCAGGGATGAATGATCTTTTTTCTGTATTGGGCTTTACTTTTTTGGCTGTAGCTGAAGATGTTGGCATTTGGGCCAGTTGTTTTGCGATTGCAGCATGTGGTTAGTATCCCTGTGCACTGTGTTGTAAAATGTTAACTGGGACATTAAATCAGTTCAGTCACACGCATTCAGCATGCTATAAGCATGATGTGCTTAGTCTGATTTTAGGTCAGTTATGTGGTGTGCTTCCAGAGCTGGCAATCTGTGCTGTATTCTCAGCCTTTTGACAGTAGTGATTTCTGCTTTCATGTTACATAGAAGCTACGGTGAGCAGACAGGCCACTGGGCCCAATCAACTCTTGTGGAGCAGTTAGGAAGAATGCTTAGAAATGTTTTTCACCTGAGATTCCAATTCAACTTAAATTGTAATTGACTGAAATTTAACAAGAGGGGCAGTTTTCCCTTCTGTAAATAATGAGTTAGCAAATCTATTTTGCTTTTCTCTGACCAACATTCCACTGCATAAAGGCTCATTTAAAGATCATTGCGCTCTTTCACATTCTTTCATTTCCGTTCACGTAAAAAATGAATACACAACCCTCCTACTGACTCAATGTGTAAATGGTGGCAGGCTATCTATGGAGTAGGATATGTGCCTCAACATCTTTGACTTGTTTTAGCTCCATTTTCCCTTGATACACTTGTCCAGTTTAAAAAAAACTGTCCTCCTCAGCCTTGTTCAGAATGGGAAAGAGGGTAGGCAGGAGAACGGAAGAGCACTGAACAGAATAATCTGCCAAACGTGGGGTTTGTAGCTCACCATCCAGTGGATGGCTGTACAGGTGGAGGGGGTACCCTGGATTAGAACCCCAATTGGTGACTATGTCATAGGTTAAATAGGAAACAGTGTGGTGCTTTTGTACTCCTGATTGCTACCCAGCAGCCCCTGTGGGAGAGTGTCATTGCTTGGGTGCCTCATGTGAATGGGGCTTGGCTTCAATGATGCTACTTTCCCCTAGTGCCTAAAAATCTATCTGGCTGTGGACAGGATTGCTTTTTAGTTCTGGACGCTACTGCCACTCAACCAGTTTCAATTGTGGAGACGAGAAAGGAGTTGGAATTTGTTGTGAGGAGTGGAATTGACCATAACTTGAATGTTGTTCCTGTACCTTTATAGGTATGGATTAGGCTGAACATGAATCGGCAGCAGTTGGACCTCCTTGATTCCTGGACAGCCAACCTGAGGAATGTAAGTGACTGGTCAGGGTGGTTCATGATTTGCTCATTGGAGCTAATGGCCCTAGTTAGGCCTCTGCAGCCAACAGATAAATTCAAGTCAAAGGATCTAATTTGGCCAATCTTCCCTGTTTGTCACAGCACTACTCTATGTCCCCAACACTATGTTGAGCTGCTTCATAAAGGACTCTAGTTTGATTGCAGTTAAATTAGGTTTTTTGGAGGGGTAAAGGTGCATTCCCTAACTTATAATAGTCCCCAACGCTTATGATGGGTGTTGATGAGATTACCTGCTGTGTATAGGTCAGTATCTTACCTGAAATGTTTAGAAATCTAAATAAGTCACAGGCAGAATCTTTATGCTTGATTATGATGATAGCAAATAGTCAGTGTCGTTTACCCAGTGCCTATGAAAAGTGTAGGTGGTAATGGTAGCTGGATCTTCAATATATGTGGAGTGTAGTCCCGGCTCTTTCCTCTCCAGTTAAAGGCACGTCTTCTGATTTCAATTGCTGTCAAGAGCAGATGGAGAAATAGGAATGTCCCAAGTTGAGTACTTTGACAATGTCTGTCAGCAGGATGTAATTCTGATTTAGGGAAGAATGTAGGACTGAGGAAGCTGTGGCCTGTCCCATGTTTATTTCAATATGCACTTCTGATTTCTGTTCCTCTAGAATACTCCTCAATTAATACACCCAAAAGCCTAATTTTTGCAGACTTTCCTTATTAACTTCATAATATTTAGATGTTAGTAAATATTAAATGTAGACAGATCTACTTCCAGAAAGACTTTCAGGAGTACATAGATTCTAGCTAGAGTCACAGGTCTGGATATAATTGGTATACTCGATGTGGAACTTTACTTAGCTGAATCCTGCACTCAGTGAATTATCAGAAGTAGTTCCTGGTGATGAAAGTTGGCTTTTTGTGTAACTGAGTATGGTAACAGTAGATGCCAATTTGTACAAGATGTGGGAGAGTTTACTAGTTTGTCGCCATTGGATATTTGAGCCTCTTTCATCCTGGTTCCCTGCTTTTGCTGTATATTCTGTTTATGTATATGTATATTCTGTTACCCATATGTGTGTCATTTAAACTTTGGTGTTTTGGGTCAGATTGCTCCACATTTGATTAACACTGTGCAGAAATATTTGCATGACTCGCTTTTATTTGATGTAACTCAGACTGATTGTGCTGTCTTATATCTTCTCTATATGTAGTGGATCAATGAAACGATTTTGAATCGTTTGGTCAGTGAGATTGACGGTGTGAACACACAGCTAAGAAGATTGGGATGTCCTGAGCTGCAAGTAGGAGGTAGGCATGTTGTATAAGGATTTAACTACCCCATGACTTGCCATCTTTAAGCAGCAAATAGTTGAACCATACAACTCGAGATCCCATGATCCTTTCCTGGTCTATCTTGAGTTTGCTGATGTTGGCCAGGATGGTCAGAGGGCTATGAGAACTGTCTTCAGTGACCTGTGGGGTTTGAGGAAACATGAACCTTTTGACTAGTTTACTCCATGTATTTGCCAGATATGTGACTACATAAATGCCTCCATGCAGCATTACTTTTTTTTTTGATTATGATAGAGTGAGATAAAATGTGTCTGTGCTGGGGGATGTTGTTTTGGCCTTTGTTCAGTACTTCTCCTTTTTCTTTCTTAATTCCCTATGCAGCAATCAAAATCAATGTTAGGACTAAAGACAGAAATTGATGGAAAAACTCTGCAAGTCTGGCAGCATCTGTGGAAGAAAAGGTAGAGTTAGAGTTAATGTTTCAGGTCCAGCAACCCCTCTTCAGAACTGGACCTGAAACATTAACTCTAACTCTACCTTTTCTTCCATAGATGCTGCCAGACCTGCTGAGCTTTTCCAGCAATTTTTGATTTTGTTTCAGATTTCCAGCATCTGCAGTTGCTTGATTTTTTTTTTTTTTTTTGGATGTTAGGATTATAGGCAGAAAATGCCTTGCTGCTCCCTGACACACACATTGTAGTGTGTTGTCTCTCTATGCTTCCTGATGCCCTTTATGTAGGAATTCCAGGTGTGTGCTGTATCTCCCTGCTCTCTGACACACTTGGTTTTAAGCAGTGGTACAGGAGCTTCTGGGTTTGAGAATTTTAAGTTGTATCCTAAGTAAACTCCTAATGGTTGACTAGATTATCGTTTTCTCTTTCCTCAGAGACCAGTATCAGCAGTCTAAGGCAAGCAGCTCTGGTCAGAGCTCCCCAGATTCCAACTTTAAATATAGTTGTTCAGTACTTGGACATCACTTCAAACCAAGAATATCTAGTGGAGAGGATCAAAGGTGAGGATTTCCCTTTCAACTGTTTTACTCAGTTCACTTACAGAACTGTTATAATGCAAAAGGAGGCCAGTTGTCTCTACAGGATCTCCAATGAGAATTATGACTTTGTGCCATTTGCCTGCCTTTCCTCTATACCCTTGTCTTGATGTACATATCATCCAGTACTGTATGGAATGTGTCGATTGGCTCAGCCCACTGCTGCCACCAGCTGCCATCTCCATCCCCACCCACCCGCAACCACAAACAAAACCTTTGTCATCTTCTGCTACCCAGTCCAGACCAAAACCGCTCATTGTGTGAACAAATATGTTCTCTGATCACATTGGATACGTTTGCATATCATTCTAACTATATGCTGTCTTGGCCTCATGTGTAGGACTTGTTTCTATCTACTCTATCCATGCCCCCATAATTGAGAGCTTCCATCAAATCGCTTAGCTGCCTTATCTCCAAGCAGAACAGTCTTGACCTCTCCAATCTATCCCCAACTGAAATTTCTTACCCCTGGAACTATTTTTGTAAATTTCTTCTGCACTCTAATGTATTCTATACATTGTGCTTTCACAGTGTTTCACATTTGGTCTTGCCAGTCACTTGTAACTTCACTATAACTTTTTTGCTCTTGTGCTCTATGTCCCTATTAATAAAGTCCAGGATACTATATACTTTATTAACTGCCGTCCACCTGTCCTGTCACTTTAAATGATCTTTGCAAATATGCATTCAAGTCCCTCTGCTCTGCACCTATTTGAGTATTATAACCCCTATTTCATGTTATTATCAAAATGCATCCCCTCACACTTCTTTGAACTTCATTTGCCACCCATCTACCCACTCCCCAGATTTTGGAGGTCTAAAATGTCATCCTCACTGTTTACAATGCTTCCAAGTTTCGTATCATCTACAAACTTTGAAATTACCCTCTGTGCACGCAGATCTAAATCATTAATGTATGTCAGGAAAGGTAAGGGTTCCAATATTGATCCCTGAGGAAACTATTCCTTGGTCCTAACACAGTTCTGCCACAGATGATTGGGGAAATGTTGTGGAGGGCAGGGAGTTTGAAATGACTGAAGCATCTCTAGCCATGCTACTTTCTTCATTAGTCATCTGTATTGAAGCTCAGGATCCCTATTTAAATGGCTTGGTTTATTGCAGAACTTGCACATGGTGGTTGTATGAGCTCCTTCCGTTGGAATGGAGGAGGAGAGTACAAATCTAGAAAATGGGACACAGACCTTCCCACTGACTCTGCGGTGAGTACCAAAACAAGAAGGGGGCTAAGCTTTTCTTGTGCATATTTGATATCTTTAGCACTGAGTTTCCCTATGTAGGTTTGTTAATTAGCAGAACTGAGCAACTAGTGGGGGCATAAGCAAGAATTGATACCTTTTTTGATTTGTTTTCTTCTCTGATGCTTAGTAAGGACTGCTCCTCTAGTGGCTGATTTAGGAAACTTGCTATTTTGTTGGGATTGGGAGGGCTTAGGGTTTGTAGTTGAACTGATGACATCTTTTAAATTACATCATCCTACTCATTGAACTATCCGCTGAATGTGTGTGTGATAGGATACAAAAGTAGCAACACCTTCAGTGTCTTTTGATTAGGAGGAGGACCTCTAAGGATGGATTTTCAGAATGTTTAAAAAGGAAGCAAGAGAAAATGAAGTGAAGAAACTTAGAACAGAAATTTCAGTGAATTCAGCTGAGTTGCCAATGATTGAGTGAAGTAATGAACAGGAGATAAGGAACAAATGGTATGGTACTAGGTATAAAACTGGAGGAATTTGCAAATAAAGCTGTTGATGCTTTTTTACAATGAGGTTCACTGTATGTTTTTCCTCCAGTTAAAATCTCACGTGGAGCCTATAGACTAGTTGTGCTGAATGGTCTGTTATCTGCACTGTATATTCTAAGTAAGATTTAGTTATTAAGTAACTTGCATTTTTATAGCACCTTTTGTGACCGCAGCATCCTAGTGTGACTTACAACTAGTGAAGTGTAGTCTCTGTGGTGAGATTTACATACAAGCTATCAAAAAGACCAATTAAATAATGACCAGTTTACTTCTGTTCTGTTGTTTGAGCAACCACCGGAGAACACTCCTGCTGCTCTTTTGAAAGAGTGCCACAGGATCTCTTTTTTATTTATACAAGAAGCTTGAAAATTTTAAAGTGTGACCCAAAAGGTGAAACCTTTTGACACTGCAGCACTTTCATTCATGGTGCTGAAGTGCTGGCTGGGACTTTTGTGTTCAGGTCTTTGCACTGGGTCTTGTGTACACAACCTTCTAGCTTGTAGAGACAGCTATTTCTAAGCCAGTCTATATAGCAGCGTTACAAACCCATTAGAACGTTTAGTGTTGATGTACTGACCCAAAGTGCGTTAACAAAGTCACCAGTTCAAACCCAGTTGTGTCCACCTGAAGAACAGATTTTCTAATTCAGTCTGAGTTAATTAATTCTCACTTTTTCCCCTGTTTATCCCTCTATTTAATTAGAGAAGGATCGATGACATAATATCAGCTAATCTGAACCAGGGTAAATAGTTGCCGATGTACAGTTAACATTTAAGACCAGCTCTGAAGATGGTGGGGGGAGAGAGAATATTGGTCACTATTTCTACTCCTGTTTCTTATTCATTTGAATCCTGCCAGGAGGGTATGGACATCTTACAGGGCTGTTAACACTGATATTTCAGAACCATCAAAATAAACTAAAATACGGAACTGTGGATGCTAGAGATCTGAAACAAATACAGAAATTGCTAGAAATCTTAGCAGGTTTGACAGCATTTGTGGGAAGAAAGCAGTTAACGATTCAAATCTGGTGACTTCAGAACTGCTATCTGCTAACAGTTCTCATGACAAGACAGTGGACTCGAATGTTAACTTTGCTTTCTTTCCACAGATGCTGCCAGACTTTTAGTTTCGCCAGCAATTTCTGATCTACCAGAATCGCTGGAGTAAGAAGCCAGGTTTGTCCCCTAAAAGCCGAGATGATTGAGGGGTGAATTTTGACGCTTGCAACATCATCCCAGATCTTGATGGAAGTTTTTTAAAAAAACGGCTGTTTCCTGGATTATAGCTAGTGGACACAAGTTTAATATAATTGAAGGGGAGAAATCAGTGGGAGATGCTGTGTGGGTGGGTGATGGGAACTTAATGAGTTGCTTTGATCAAGAGTGCACTGTCTGAAAGGAAATTTCATGCAGATTCATGAGACCCTTTCAAACGTTAGTTGGATAGCTATTTGGAGGAATAATTTGCAAAACTGGGGAGAGAGCAGGGCAAGTGTGACAACACAGGTATTCTTTTGAAGGGCTGAAGCTCTGGATTGTAATTCTGACTGTCACAAGCACTTCCATTGGGGTTCTCTGGGCAGTAATTGGTTGCAACCCTGACTGATCTCTCCTTCCTGAATCAGGAGTTGACTCTCATTGAACAGATCTGACTGAAAACCAAAAATCTTCGTAGTGTCTGTGGCTCCTCTTTTCACTGGATATTTGAATCTACTAGAGGCAATCTTGTGTTATCCTGAGTGTCAACTTTACTGTATCTGCATACAGTATGCTGCAGTCTAACTTGCACTTGTTTTCTATGCTGCATAGGGACAGTGGGGCAGCCCTTTCTCATATGTTTGTTGATTTCTTCTTTCAGATGATAATGCATATGTTCTGCACTTATCTTGACTCCAGGCTGCCTCCACATCCCAAGTACCCTGATGGGAAAACTTTCACCTCCCAGCATTTCATTCAGACTCCAGATAAACCAGGTACTTACCTGCAGCTGATTCCTATATACTAGCAACACTGCTAGTTGAACTTCTGCGTAATAATTTTCATGTTTCCAGCTGTACTTTGCATGGCATTATGTAGAACAGCACAGAAATAGGCTGTTTGACAACAACGTGCTGTTATAATATGCAGCTGGCTTATCTGTTGTTAAGTTGATAAATGTGATAGTGTGATCCCACAAGTGACAACAGGTGGAATGATGAGTTGATTTGTTTGAGGGAGGAATGTAGATCAGGACATCAGGAAAACTTACTTTGATTAGCACAAATGAATCTGAATGTATAGAAAAGATTCTGCTTCAAAGTTATGTAAAAGATGATGCCCCGAACAACCAATGTATTGCTTCCTCAGTATTGCAGGAGATGTCAGCCTGAATTAGATGTTCAGACCCTGCAATGGGCCTTAGCCTCAGGTATGTGCTTTGAGCCCACCTTAAGCTGTGTGTAGTTAATTATTAGCAATAATTTTCCCATTGTAGCTTGTGTTGTAAAAAGAAACAGCTAGCTATACACTTGTGGTTAATTATTTTTCTGGTTGCAAATTCTCTTTGCAGATATCACAAATGAGCATTTGTTTTGTATACATCAAAGCAACATCAATCCTCCCCACTACCAGCTGATCTACCACGGACAGGTGTATAATTTGCCGAAGGTACCCAAAAGATAGTCTCCTGAATTGAAAAAACAACTTTACTGCTCTTGAGCCCTGTCTGGGGATGCAATAAAGGAAACAAAGGTTTACATGTATATAGTGGCTTTCCCATCCTCCTTGTGTTGTCACCACTTCCCAATCGTGGATTTTTTTTTTTTGAACTTGAGAAACCCATAGCTCTGTGTTTGCAAAGGAGGATAACACACAGGCAGCAGTCTGATGAATGATTGGCTAATGCTGATGTGACTGCCAGGAGAACTTTCTGCTCCTCTTAGTGCCACACAGACAGACTCAGCCTGTTGTTAGCAGAGTTCCCTGAGGAAAGTACAGAAGTATCAGCGTGTATTACAAACTCCAGTCTGCTGTTACTAGACTTAAGCCTTCATTACTTTGGTATCATGTCACTCCTGAACCGCAAACCTCCAAAGTGGGTCCTTAGTTTGGTTCAGCATTGTTGGAGGAGTGAAACTGCTGTTACTAAAGATTAAAAAGAGAGTCTTGTGTTTATACAGCACTTTTTATGACCTTTTGGACATCCCAAAGCACTTTGTAATCACTAAAGTCATTTTAAAGTGTTGTAACAGTGGGGATGGTGATGTATTAGTCACCTCACTGGACTAGTAATCTGGGGGTCCAAGCTAATGCTTTGGGGCACAAGTTCAAATTTCAGTTGTGGCTGTTGGTGAAATTTGAATTCGGCTCAAATTTGGAATTGAACACAAGTCTCAGTATTGGTGACTATGAAACTGTCTCTTTTTGCCTTTTATTCTTTCATTTCTTACTTTACAAAAATATTATTTCATTGAAAGCGGATGTCACTGGCAAGGCTAATATTTGTTGCCCCTCCCTAATTGCTCTTTAACAGAGTGGCTAGCTAGGCTACATGTCATAAACTCAACAGGTTCACTTGTGTCTTTTTGGGAAGGAGATTTGGCATCCTTACCTCATCTGGCCTACATGTGACACTAGATCCATAGCAATGTGGTTAACTCTTAACTGCTGTCTGAAATAATCTAGTGAGATATTCAGTGAAATAACAATCGGGGATGCTGGCCTTGTCAGTAATGCCCACATCCCGTGAAATAATAATTTTGTAAAGTAGGAAATGAGTGTAGCAAGATTCCACAAATAGCGATGTGATAATGACCACACAATTAATTTTGTGTGTTGGTTGGGGGATAATTATTGGTCAGGACTTCAGGTAAAACTTCCTGTTCCTCTTGGAAATAATGTCCCAAGATCCACCTGTGGGGACAGTTGAAGAATAAGTTTAATGTCTTAATTTAAAATAGAATATGTTTTATGTTCCAACTTGGAATGATTTTTCATTTTGCAGGACAGGAGCAACATGTTTCACACCATTCTGATGTTTTTATACATAATTAAAACGAAGGAGTCAGGAATGTTGGGGTATGTGGTTATTTCAGAATTCTCTAACTCTCTTGTTTGATCTCTCCTTAAATCATTTAGTAATTTGGTAGATAATTGAGTTTTGAAACTGCTTTATTTTGTTGCATTTGAAAAGATGACCACTTGCAATCTATCAAAAAATAAAAATCTCCACTCCAACCTTGATTTTCCAAATGACTTGACTGAAAGTTCTGAATACCCACAAAGCGGGAAATGAAGACATGCCAAGTTCTCTCATACAAACATTGACTTAGAAGCTAGAAGCAGGAGTAGGCCACTTCAGCCCTTCTGCTCCGTCATTCAGTATGATCATGATTGTACCAAAATGCCATATTCACACCTTCTCCCCATACCCCTTGATGCCTTTAAAATCTAAAAATTAATCTATCTCTTGACTGTATTCAGTGCCCTCCTAAGACTGATCCCAGCTTCCAGCAATTCTGTGAACAAAGTCGGGGAAGATGTGTGTGTGGCAGAGATCCTCAGATCAGTGCAAAATTTACTTTCCAGTTCCCTTCACCCGCTCCAATACGTGAGATCTTTGCGCACAGAATGGTGACAGTCTGGCAAGCAAGGCCACAGTCCTGCATTCCTACATAGCCTGGTGAACTTTGATACTGAATCCATTTAAAGTATTTTTAAACTTCATGAAGATGTTTATTTTTCACATTACCTCCATGTATGTGAGCTGTATGTCTGAGACTTCGTCCCCTGATTTTTTTCACTTCTCCCTCCTGTTTTCCTCCTCCTCCCATAGGCTGTCTGATTTTGTTCAGAGTTTGGAATAATATTATAAGTAAAATGGTTAAATTGAGGGCAGGTAGCTTAAACTTTTCAGGTGAGCTGAACAGTAACCATAGATGAATGGAAGGAGGCATTGTAGCTAAACTGCTCTGTGCTGACAATAATACACTGGGACTTGCCAGTCTCAGTGGTAATTGGTTATGAGTCAGGATTGTGTCCCCTTCCCAGCCAATCTGTTTGCAGCACTCTGCACAGCTGCCCAGCTCAGATCAGTTAATGTAACACAGAAGATGGTCAGGGATTTCTTAGTCTGTGTGGAATTTGATACAAAAAAAGGAGCATTTACCCAGTTAGCCACCAGGTGGCTTTCAGGGCTGGTTAATTGGATTGGTATATCTTTCCACAAAGTGCTTCTGTTCAGTTAGTCATTAGTTGGAAGAATAAACAAAGTCTGCTCTCTTCTAAATGAATGAAGTTTGTCTGCTTGTATGACTTGGCAGCTGGGAAGAACTGTAATAAAGGGTCTGGCATTCACTTGTGTCCTTCATGCTCTCTGTCACCAAAGATTTCTCAACCTTTTCAGATGCAGCAGTCAATATGTGCACAACAAGCTCATGCCATCCACAAAATAGATGCGACCAGATAATTTTGAATTTGGTAACTGTATGGTTGTGGGTGGAGTGCCAAATGGGACAACAGCAGAACCACCTACAAGATACTATCTCCTAATGCGTTACTTTCTCAGTTCTCTATTGGGCTATCAGCCTAGCTAACATTATATGCATTCCTTCATAAGGGCAGCCTGTTCTGGAGTTGATTAATAGGGTAATGTATCCTGGAATCAATTCTTTGCCCAGGCACTGAAAAGAACACTTTTTTTTATAAAAAAAAAACAAAAATCCCCAGCCCAAAAAATTAATTGCTTATAAATTGTCCTTTTGAACATATTAGAGTGTATTAGTATGAACAGTGTATATTTAAGTTATTTTTTTCTTTTACAGGAGAGTGAATCTGGGCTTGTCTGGAGTGAATGTTCTTTGGATTTTTGGAGAGTAAAGAACAATTGCCAGGAGATATAACTGCGAATATGTATTTGATTTGTAGAAAAGTTGAACAGATTCAGGATTTTGGTCCCTCGCTTCACTCCTACAACCCCCATCCCACACCACACCATCTCTCTCTTCTTGATCTTTCTTATACTGACAACTGGCAGAAATGTGGGGTCCTGGACCAGAAACTCTGAAGCCAACATTACATTTTGCCCTGTGACTCTGCTGAGGATGTGTGCTCACTGAATATCTGTTTGGCTGCCATGCAGCTGCTTCAATACTGAGAGAGTTAATTTTAATTTTTCAAAACTAAAGCTTTTATCTTTTCTAATGTTTGAAGGAAAAGACTCCTTTTATAATAACCAGTGGAAGTGTGTAATTTTTCATACTCTTCGAAGCATTATGTGAAGTAGCAAAATACTGCTGTACTTCTTATGAAAGAAGACCATCAACTCCTGTCAGCTTTGGTATTTCTGTTCGGGCAAAGGAACTGTCATTCAGAGCATCTGAGGGTGGGAGAGACAGAACTTGTGTTTTCTTTACTGCTCTATAAATACACAGCTGGAATAATGGTACCACTGCCCTGGGTCATGTCACTAATCTTGTTCTGTTTTTAGTTTAATGATGTTAACACAAACCCATGTGAACAGCCTGGATACAAGTACTGTAGGAATCATTTGAGATGATGGGACAAGTTGTCAAAAGACATAACCTGTTTCCATTTATAAATATCTAAGAATGAAAGTAAGCAAAAACAAAAGGCTGATCAGTTTTACTAGGGAACTGATGAGAAAAGGTAAATAGTTAATGCAAACTCAGCTCTGTAATCATTTCAAACTGTCGTGATGAATGTAATTAACTGTACTGTAAGGGTCCTATGAATTCAATGTGGGCTGCCTCAGGCTACTCCCAGTAGGTCTGATTTGCCAGTGCAGAACTTGTCCTCTCCACTTCAAGGGTGTTGGTTTTGTGAGGAGTGGTTCATCGGTGTTGCTGAAGACTTCCGTCACTCCCTAAAATGAAAAACAATTTACTCTGAGACAAGTCTAGAAAGTGCTGGACCTACACCTCAGAATCGAGGCTTGCATTAAAGTGAGTTGCTCTATTTAAAGAAGGCTTGTGCCCTTCCCTCCTGTCCATGTTGAGCAGCACTTCCCTGATTAGTTGAAGCATTGGAATGGCTGATAAAAGCAAAATAGTGTGGATGGTGGAGATCTGAAATAAAAACAAACTGCTGAAGAAATCTGCAGGTCTGGCAGCATCTATGAGGAGAGAACGTGTTAAAATTTTGAGTCCACTGTCTCAATGGAAGGAGGGTGGAATAGAATAGTATTTACACTGTTGACCAAGGGAGAGGAGGAACGAGTGGAACAGAGTGTGAAATTGTTTTGGTCACACCCCCACACACCCCCACGCTGGACTGACAGCATTTTGTTACAGCCAAGATGCTCAGTTGCAAGTTGACTGAGCATGAATGGGATTGGGTCCTCGAACTACTTCTCACTGCCCACCTTTGAGTCCTCCACAGTCCTGAATGAAGTATGAAGAGCTGACGGATGCCTGTGGAATTTATATTTGGCATTGGTGCCCTCCTGAAGAGATATTAAAAGGTGATTGTTAGTCATTCAAAGTGGCCATGGAAGAGCCTAGTGCAGAATATGGGAAAAATATTTCTGGTATGACAGTGGACGCTACTGAGATTGTGACTGAGGAGCAAAGTGGAACTTTATATTTATCCTAGTCATGTCGGATCTAGGAGATTCGGATGGGGCGCTCAACATTACTGTGTATCTAATGGTGTAGCTGTTAAGTGTGGCTGGATAACATAGTATTAGATTTGATACTGCTAGCAATCTCTTCAAGACAAATGCTGTCTTTATTTTTCTAAAGGGATGTGAAAGCGGAATTGAAATATGGGATCCATTGATTTTGGGGCACTGCAGATACTCACTTTGGAATTTTATAATGTAATGGAACCATCCTGATTTCTCCCTCGTGTAATTAGCTCACAGCTTTGCAATAATTTGCAGATATTCATATGTCTGTCCTCCTCAGTTTCTTCTCCTGCATTTAATTGAAGCCTGCCCTAAACTATGCATGACAAAGGAATGTGTCTTCATATAGCAGACAGCAGCATGAGACAGAACAGTAAAAATATAAACAGAAGGACAAGCAGTAGTAACTAACAATTTGCCAATAATTAATGTTGCATCATTAAACCGGTATGGGTGAAACTCTTGGCGGGGGGGGCGGGAAGGGGCTGCTGGAGAGGAAGCATGGAGAAACTTCACCTCATTCACTATGGAGTGCTGGATTTAGAACACTACATTCCAGGAGCAGAATATTCTCATTGGAGTCTGGCTAATCTTTGACAAATACACTGACAGTAATTCAGCTCTAGAACTTACCATGTAATAATAGATCTCGAAACAATCCTGTCATTGCTGTTACAATCAATCAACACCCACTCAATGCATTTTCACCTTGCTGTTCAGTTCATCGGGGCAAGAGACAGATCCAATTAACTGGAGAATGCACAATTTTAAAATATTATTTCTCTAGTGTTTTGGCATCATTGACATATCATTTTATAATGTTTGGGCATTGATAGTTCCAGTATTTAAGAGTAAAATGTTAATGTATTTGATTCACTGAAACCAATACTGAAGTGGTGTGAAAAATCATTGGTTATGTTAGTCATTGCTGAGAATCACTATTGATTTTGATGAGAAACATAGGGCAGGCCATAAGGTGGACTTGCTATTTTCAGGGAATCTTTTCCGCATCTGTCTGAGCAAGCAGTAAATAACCCTTATTCTTTTGCACTCTAAATACTATAATAACTGTCAGCTTGTGTGACATGTTCCAGGCTGTCGTAGGGCTTGAACGTACTACAAGCCATGGGCTGGGAAGTGGGAGTGCCAGCAATAGAACCAAAGTGGTACTTTTTCCCCAGAAGGAAAAAGACAGACTTAGGGGACCTAACCTTGAACCAATGAAACTGCTAGAATGGGGGTTGGAAAAGATCTGTACTGCGAGAAACCATTAAAAGGCTGAATGCTGATGACCAGCAGTTAATTTCCTCTGTTCAAGAAGGGAAATAGGGATAATCCAGGAAACTATAGTCTGGTGAGTCTCCTGTTGGTGGTTGGGAAGCTGTTGGAGAGAATTCTTAGGATTTATGCACATTTGGGACAGTCAACATGGCTTTGTGTGGGGCAGATCATGCCTTACTAACTTGATTGAATTTTTTGATGAGGTGACAAAGGTGATCAATGAGGGCAGAGCAGTGGATGTTCTCTACATAGACTTTAATAGGGCTTTTGACAAGGTTCATTCTGGTAGGCTCATCCAGAAGATTAAGATGAATGGGATACACAGTGACTTGGCTGCTTGGCTTCAGAATTGGCTTGCCCACGGAAGGCAGAGGGTAGTGGTGAAAGGGTGTTTTTCTGGCTGAAGGTCTGTGACTTGTGGCGTTCTGCAGGGATCTGTATTGGGACCTCTGTTCATGATATACAGAAGAGACTTGGATGAAAATGGAGATGGGTGGGTTAGTAAGTTTGCGGACGATACAAAGATTGGAGTTTTGGAGAGTGTAGAAGGTTGACAAAGGATACAACGGGATACAGATCAGTTGCAGATAGAGGCAAAAAATGACAGATGGGGTTTAATCTGGCTAAGTATGAGATGTTGCACTTTGGGAGATCAAATATTAAGGAAAGGTATACAGTTAATGTGTGGACCCTGGACAGCATTGATGTGCAGAGAGATCTTGGGGTTCAAGTCTATAGTCCTCTGAAAGTTGGTAAGGGGAGTAAAGAAGGTGTATGGCATGTTTGCCTTTATCAGTCAGGGAATTGAGTACAAGAGTCAGGATCTCATGTTGCAGGTTTATAAGACTGGTTAGGCCGTACTTAGAGTTTGCATTCAATTCTGGTTGCCACATTACAGGAAGGATGCAGAGGCTTTGGAGAGAGTGTAGAAGAGGTTTACCAGGATGCTGTCTGGATTAGAGGGTTTGAGCTATCAGGAGAGGCTAGCTGTTTTCTCTGGAGTGGTGGAGGCTGAGGGGAGACTTGATAGAAGTCTATAAAATTATGAGATGCAGAGACAGGGTTGACGGTAGCAATCTTTTCCACAGAGTTGAAATGTCTATACAAGGGGTCATACATTTAAAGTGAGAGGGGGCAAGTTTTTTATGCAGAGAGTGGTAGGAGTCTGGAATGCGCTGCCAAGGATGGTGGTATAGGCAGGTACGTTAGAGATGTTTGTGGGATTTTTAGATAAGCACATGAATATGAAATGGAGGGATATGGGCAGGGAGAAAGGATGGGTTTAATTTTTTTGTCATGTTCAGCACATCATGGCCCAAAGAGCTCATTCCTGTGCAGTACTGTTCTGTGTTCTAAAAGTGCATGAGCAGACTGCTACTTAAAGCTGAAGTTGTCATTGTCTTACCAAACCGTAGGGCTGCTCTCTTATTAGAGAGAGATAACTGGTGGCTACTTAACCTCAGGTTCACCACCCCCAAGGTAAGGGGAGAGGCTGAGGAGAGTCCTTCATGATAACCTTAGTAAGTGCAGGAGGTGAACCTGTGCTACTGGCATCAGGGCAGCACGGTGCCCTGCAGCAGCAGGGACCCAGTTTCAATTCCATCCTTGGTGACTGTGTGGAGTTTGCACGTTCTCTATGTTTGTGTGGATTTCCTCTAGATGCTCCGGTTTCCTCCCACAGGTTAGGTGGATTGGCCAAGCTGAATTGCTAATGGTGTCCAGGGATGTGTAGGCTAGGTAGGTTAGCCATGGGAAATATGGGGTTACAGGGATAGGGTGGCAGGGGGTTGGATTGAGGTGGGATTCTTTTTGGAGAGTTGGTGTGGATTTGATGGGCTGAATGGCCTGCTTCCACACTGTTGGGATTCTATGATCACTCTGCATCGCAAACCAGCCATCCAGCCAAGCCAAGCAGTTTTCAGGATAATTTTCACTGACTGTAAAATGTGGAGAACAAATAAAGTGTCAGGAGGCAACAAAGTATAGGTGAAAAGGAAAATCTTTAGGATGTTTCTGAAGGGTAAAACCTGGGAGACAGAGATCCTTGTGAGAATTCTGAGACAGGACTGGCTAAATAGTGGAGTGAGAGGGTGAGATATGACTAGGAAGTTGAGAGACTAGGAAAGATGGCCCTGAACTATAGAAGTAAAGACAACCTTGAAGTTGATATTCTATGGGTTATTATTTCAATACAATTAAAATATTTAAAAATATTTGGTATCAATATTGCCCCCATTAGTGAGTTGCTACAATCTAGAATGAACAATCTGAAGGCATACAATAGGGCAGATTTTAATGATAAAGTAAACATTTGCTCCAATGAAACTTTAAGCCAACTTCTGGAATGTGCACAGGCATGGAAGAATGCTGAAAGCACAGGTTAATTTCGGTAAGTGTATACAGTTAAAGTATGCTGAAACTGCAATCAGTGCAAAATTAATTGAATTGATGGACCTACACTCTTCTGGTGCCAGCTTGTTGGATGAACTAATTGTGTATTCACTTCAAATGCTTCGCCCTGATTAACATCCAACGATAACAATATTAGTTTGCATAATGAAAAATAACATTTTTAGAATAGAATAGAATCCCTACAGTGTGGAAACAGGCCCTTCGGCCCAACAAGTCCACACCGACCCTCAGTGCATCCCACCCAGACCCATCTAAGCTACACATCCCTGAACACTACGGGCAATTTAGCATGGCCAATCCACCTAACCTGCACATGTTTGGACTGTGGGAGGAAACCGGAGCACCCGGAGGAAACCCACGCAGACACAGGGAGAACGTGCAAACTCCACACAGACAGACACCCGAGGCTGGAATCGAACCTGGGTCCCTGGTGCTGTGAGGCAGCAGTGCTAACCACCGTGCCACCATGCCGCCCTTTTTACAAAGGTTTTATATAAATAAAATATTTATGATCTAATTATAATTGATTTTATTATCTTAAAAAAAACTAAAAGCTAAGGAAAAAGCGTTGTAACGCTATGTGAATACGTCAATGTGATAGGCTACTTGCTCACTGACGTTACAACTGGAATACGGCAGATGAATCTCTTGGCACTAGATTTTTGGCACAAGGAAAACAAGAGATATGTGCCACGTAAATCACTAGCTTTATGCTGACAGCTTTCTGCGAGGTTAGACACTGGCATAAGTTCATTGATGACAAACCCTGAACTAACAACAGGAACTAACAAAGAGGAATTGGATATATGGTTGGAAAAGGAATAATTTTGTAAGGCTGTGGTCGATGATCAGGGAAGTGGAACCAATTGAATAGACTTTTCAAACAACACGCACGATTGACCGAATAGTCCCTTTTTAAACTGTATGATTATGCAGTGCCTTACGTGGGCAGTCCATTATAAGTGAAGATATGGGAATTTATTGTCAATAAGTCACTAGGAAGAATCTGGATATATAGGATTTTTAAGAAACCTTTATGTAGTCATTCTTTTCCGCTTAGATGGAGTTTGGACTCATATCCTTTACCCTCCCGCACCTGATCCACCTGTTGTGAATTTCCATCACGTTTCTGTTTTAATTTATGATTTCCAGTTTTCCAAACTTATCCTTTCGGTGATTGCAACAAAAATTTTGCCCAATTCGTCTTTTCTTTTAAAAACCGAAAGAACTGCGGATGCTGTAAATCAGCAACAAAAACAGGAATTGCTGGAAAAGCTCAGCAGGTCTGGCAGCATCTCTGAAGAAAAAAAAATCAGAGTTAACGTTTCGGGTCCGGTGACCCTTCCTCAGCACCGTATTTTAATCGTTTTTCTCGGGGCGTTTTAACAAAGTTGACGCACGACAAAAAAAACTCCCAAATTGGAATCAAACCACCTGCAACTGGGCTGGATCTGCATCTTAAGTGCTGAAAACTGCAGCGCGCAGAAGACGGGATAAGAAGGGGCATTTGTGTTTCTTTGGGTCGGCCCGTGGACAAAGTGGGCCGAATGGCCCCCTCAACAGCGCTGCATCATTTCTACGGTTGTAGTCTTTTTGACTCCCTCCGGAACAGGAGGAAGGAGGTGGAGAGACTACAACTCCCAGAAAGCGCCGCGGCGGCTAGCCGCGGACTACAGCTCCCAGAAGATTGTTTCAGAGATAGCAGGAACTGCAGATGCTGGAGAATCTGAGATAACAAGGTGTAGAGCTGGATGAACGCAGCAGGCCAAGCAGCATCAGAGGAGCAGGAAAGCTGACCCTTGAAGGGTCTAAGCCCGAAACCTCAGCCTTCCTGCTCCTCTGATGCTGCTTGGCCTGCTGTGTTCATCCGCTCTACACCTTGTTATCTCAGCTCCCAGAAGATACTGCGCTCAGGCGTCGGTGGCAGCACATGCGCGGTGCTTATAAAAATGGGGGGAAGGGGGTGTGTGTGATCAGCAGGTGCTGGCGTCGGCTTCTCACTCGGACCGGTGGAGGTTGTTATCCATCCAGCCATGTCGGAGATCGATCAAGAGCCGGAGCTGGGCTTTCGGAGACGAAGCACCCAGGACGCATTGAGTAAGGAGCCGCATTTAACCATCGTGTCACCACCTTAACTCGCTCCCTTCGGGCGGCTGCTGCTCGTGTTTTGTCTGGGCGCTGACAGCTGCTCCTCACCCTCCCCATCGAAACCTGCCGGCTTTCCAGGCTGCTGTCAGAACGGCTTGTCTGTAGCTATTTCAAATCGTTTCTCATCTTTTAACTCAGTCCTTTTGGGACCCTGAGATTTAAATTTTATCCGTAACAGTGCTGTGAGAAATATTTTAAAGAGAGCTGCGCAGGTGTTTGACAGTGAGCAGTTTTTTGGACAAAAGAAATGGGCATGTGGGTGCAAGCGGCTCTACTGTTTTCAAAGAGCGAGCACAAGCAGATGGGCTGAAATAGTCATCTTCTGTGCTGGAAGCTTCTATAATTCTGTGACTGAAGTTCTTAATGATTGCAAACCGAGAGGACACCGTTTTAGTTTTTTTTTTCAAAGGTCAGAAGGAATAGGGTGGGGAAGATTAAAGTTGTGATGTGGGGTGAACTGCCTGAAAGCATGAAAGAAACAGATTAAATAACTGCTTTCAAAGAGGAACTGGATAACTACTCACAGGGGAAAGTTTTTTTTTCAGGCAACTGGGGCAAAGGCACACGTAGAATTAATTGGATGTCTCTGTCAAGTAGTTTTTTTTTGTTGTATAATACAATAATAAGATCTCACTAATTAATGTTAATTAATATTAATCAGTGTCAGTCTGCATCCTTACACTAGCTATGTTCTATGCTTGTTCTTGATACAACTGTGACTGAACTTATTATGTAAAGCTTAACATTTGAGATGCTACATGTAGCTTTATGAAGCAGGTTTGAATCGTTTCACACAAAGGTGCTACTGAAACTTAGATTTGTTTTTACTTCAGCCATATTCTCTAGAAAAGTTTGGTAGGACTGACTCTTCTGAATTTCTAAAGAGCTTGCCATATTGGATTTGAAAGATCAATTGTGTCTTTTTTTTTCTTCTGCATGCTGCCAGACCTGACTTTCCTATGCAAACAAGAGTAAACTGTTCTGCCATTCAATTAGATTATGGCTGATCTGACTCCATATATCTACCATTGGCCCAAATCTCTTTTAATGTATTTTGCTTAACTAAAATTTATCTATCTCCAGTTTAAACTGAACAGCTGATCCATGCATTCATTGGTGTTTCCATAGAATCCTTAGTATGGCAACAGGCAATTTGGCCCAACAAATCTACCCCAACTCTCCAAACAGCATCCTACCTAGCACCCTGCACCCCCCCCGCCCCCCCCCCCAAAAAAAATCCCTGTTACCCTGCATTTCCCATGGCTAATTCACCTAACCTACATACCACTTAGTCACTATGGGAAATTTAGCATGGCCAGTCCACCTAATCTACACACTTTTGGACTATGGGAGGAAACCCACACAGACGTGAGGAGAATGTGCAAATTCCACAATCTCACGAGACTGGAAAGGATGTGGGTCCCTGGTGCTTTGAAGAGCGGTTCCAACCACTGAGCTGCTGTGCTGCACCTGTTTGTGGGAGAGTTCCAAACAGCTACCACCCTTTGTTTATAGAAGTGTTTCTAACATCTTTCCTAAATGATCTGGCCCTAACTTTCAGATTATGCCCCCAGTTTTAAAATCCTCAAGTGGAAGTAGTGCATCTTCAGCTACCCTGTCTTCTTCTCGACTTTGTTCAGATGACCCCTTTAACTTCTAAGTTCTAGATAAAACAGGCTTACTTTGTATCATTGCTCCTCAAACTTAACCCCTGAAATCCAGATATCATTGTTGTAAACCTACACTGTCCCTTCCCCCTGGCTAATTTATCGTTCTTAGAGTGGGGGCCCATATTTGTTCATAGTACTCCAAGTGGGGTCTAACTAGGATTCTGTATAACTGCAGCATAACTTCTGCATCCTTGTACCCCAGTCCTCTAGAAATAAAGGCAGCATTCCATTGGCTTTTCTTGATCACTTTCTCCACCTGTTTGACGTTTTAAAGATCTGTGCGCTTGAACCCCTTAATCTCTTTGGACATCCACTGTTAAACTTAATATCTAGAAAGTTCCTTGATCAATCCTTTTTCAATCCAAAATGAATAATCTCATACTTGTGTTGAACTTGATCTGCACTCTTTTGGTCCATTCACTTCACCTATCAATTTTTTTTTAGTTTTATGCTATCGTCTTCACCTATCTGCAATGCTACCTAACTTTTGTCATTAGCAAGTTTGGATATATGACTTTCATCTAAGTTGTTAATAATTGAGGGCCTAACAAAGATTCATGTGGGATACCCAGGTTACATCCTACCTATGAGTACCTACCCATTAACCCTACTTTCAGTCACCTGCCGCTTGGCCAATTTCCTAGCCTTTTCAATAATTTGCCTTCCATTCTGTGGGTTTCTACCTCCAGAGTCTCATATGTCAGACATTATCAAATGACTTCTGGAAGGCCATCTAAACAACATCCATAGACATTCCTATGTCACCTTTTCAAAAAAGTTCAATAAAGCTTGTCAAGCATGACCTACCTGTTACTACCTAGCACGTTGTTTTTATTTCAGACCTCCATCTACTGTGTTTTGCTTTTATTGAGGTGACATGGTGGCTCAGTGGTTAGCACTGCTGCCTCAGCGCTAGGGACCCAGATTCAATTCTACCCTCGGGTGACTGTGTGGAGTTTGCACATTCTCCCTGTGTCTGTGTGGGTTTCCTCCAGGTGTTCTGGTTTTCTCCCATAGTCCAAAGATGTGCGGTTTGGGCAAATTGGCATGGCTTGGTCATTGGGAATGCAGCGTTACAGGGATTGTGTGTGGCTAGGTCTGGGTGGGATGCTCTTTGGAGAGTTGGTGTGGACTTAATGGGCTAAGTACCACACTCTCTAGGTATTCTGTGATTTGAGCTGTACTGCTTTGTTCACTTGGATAATTTAGTATTTGGAAACAATGCTTTTTTTTAAAGCATAACGGTTTCAGGGTGATTTTTAGTTGTTTTCAGTGCAGACATATGCTGTTTGATTCAATCTGTAACAAGCAAAATGCTTGTTCTTGGCTGATTCTAGTTTCTCCTACCAGCATTTTGCCTTGTGCTCTATAACGTGTATCTTGTTTCAACCATGCACGTAGAATCCCTAAACTTGCATTGTGAATGGGATACCCTACAAAGACAAATGAACCATGAACACTTTGTTCCACTGAAATCTTACTGCTGTAATGTTATACTTTGATTCCTCCGTGCATATTAGCTAATATTCCTACTTTGTAGGCTGCATGTTTTGTAAGGCAGAAAGTTGCCTCCCCTCCTTATCAGTTCTTGGTCCACCAACTCTTCAAATTTTAAGGTTGCGCGGTGACTCAGTGGTTAGCACTGCTGCTTCACAGTGCCAGGGACCCGGGTTCAATTCCACCCTCGGGCAACTATGTGTGTAGTTAGCACGTTTTCCCTGTGTCTGCATGGGTTTCCTCCAGATGCTGTGGTTAACTCCCATAGTCCAAAGATGTGCAGGTTAGGTGGATTGGCCATTCTAAACTGCCCCATAGTGCCCAGGGGTGTTTAATTAGGTGGGTTAGACATGGAAAATAAGGGGTCTGGGTGGGATGCTCTTCAGAGGGGTGGTGTGGACTTGTTGGGCAGAAATGGCCTGTTAACACTCTGGATTCTGATATATTCAAATGCCTACGTTGCCTTGGGTCTCTGACTGCAGCCTCCTAAATTCAGTGCTAATTGGCCTCTTGAGTATCTCTTATTGCCTTCACCCCTCTTCATGACCAAGCCTTCAACTGCCTGGGTCTGGAGTGCTGGAACCCCCTCCCTTTAAACCCCTGTACCACCATTCTCTCAGTTCCTTTTGTTCCTCAAAGCTGACTTTTTCTTTGGGGTTTCAATCATCCAACCTTTTTAGCTTTGTGCAGTGCTTCATTAAAGATGGTGTGTGCAAGTTTTGTGGAAGGAAGGGCTCAGTTGGTAGTCTGCTTATCTTGGAAATAAAGGGGCAGTGTTGCTGTCTCTAAATTTTGATTAGATCATGCAACTTGGAGATGACACTTTTTTGCTTATAAGTTGCTCTTGTGAATGGGAACAAGCAGTGAGATGTTTGTAGTTTCAGAGAGGTATTTGCTTTTAAATATAATCTTTTGTGCTTATTAAAATCTTTTTGATGTTCTCCTACATAAAACAAAATATAGGTAAATTTTAGAATGAGAACTAAACAGCACCGGAAACCATTCAGCCTGTGTGTAACCATAAAGGTTATAATGAACTGCCTAATAAGTACCTGTTTTTAAACTAAAATTTATTGTATGAGGAAGTATATATTTAAGACAAAATTAATCAAAGAACATGTCTATGGCATAGTGAAAGGGTTTCAGAAACTCAGTAATTTGGGTGGTAGAGTTTGAGGACCCAATATATCAAATGGAAAGCAAAGATGGAGAATCTTTATTAGATAAATGAGTTGCAGACAGATTTTCACAAGCCTGTGGAATAAGAAAGGAGGAATCCTGAATGTGGGATAACTCCTTCAGTGATTGGAAGAAAAGTAAATGATTTGTGTGGAGCACCAGTAATTCTGGTAAAATAGTTCAGGTTTTCTTCTATCTTGTACAGGAATGCATGTGGTGTGGGTAAAGTTGGAATGTCTTAAATTGCAAATTCTGTTCTTGACTTTGATTTAGATGGAACTGGCTCACTGAGGAGGGTTGTTAGATTTTTAGGCCAATTTCTTTATTTCTCTTGGGTAGCACAATGGCTGAATATTCTAAATGATACTTGACAAAACTTTGTCCAAGGTAAATACGCCTTGTGCAACACACACACCAAATAATATACACCATTTTTATTCAAAATTGCTTTCAAATTGATATTTTTGTGATAATTCCATACCCCCAAATTATTTGCACTCATTTTTCATCTGATTTGTTGGGAGTCATTCTGTATTTTACGTCGTATTTGATTATGCAACAGCATTGTTTCAAATTTGAATGGAAACTCCACTCTGTTGGGAG